GCCCCCGCGTCCGCCCGAAGGGGCGGGGGCCGGCGGCCAAAGCCGGCCTGGCCCCCCGCACGGCGCAGGCCGGAGGCCTCCCGGCCCGCCCGAGCGCCTGCCGCGGCCCTGCTGCGTTCCACCGGTTTTCCAGCCGGTTTGTCGAAGCTCCGAAACGCTGGCTGCTTTTGGTACCGCGTGGAAGGCTCGCCACCAGACAGCCCGCAGCATCCCCGAGAGCGCTGCTGGATGCATCACAGAGGATGCTGAAGCCTTGACTCAGCAAAACCTGTGGCGCAGGATCGGGGCGAGCCTGCTGCCCTGCGTGGCCGTGCCAGCCCGGAGCCGCACCAGAAGCCCCTTCCCTCGCCACCGCCGGCGGGGCCTGGGAGACCACGGAGCCGCCCCGGCAGGGCACGCGGCCGTGCGGCTTTGCCGGTAGCCTCAGACCAGTCCTCTCCCATAGGGAAGCCACCGCTTCCTGTCACCGAAAGCTGTTCTGGTTGTGGTTGGGGACCAAGCAGCCTCAGAGGAAGCGGTAGCCTGTTCAGCAAGCTCTAGAAAGCAAGTTTTACTTCCACCTGCGAGCTGAGAGCAAGCAAGAAAAGCAGCTGATATGTAGTAAGAGGGTCTCTGCCCCACACACGCTGGCTGACTTTGCTCTCCCACTGATGCTGAGCCACCTGATCCCAGCCTCCCACAAGGGAATTGCTTCTCCTTCCCCAGGAGGGAAGTGAGCACAGCGCTGCTGATCCAGGCATCGCCACTCTTACCTGAGGAGCGCTTGCCACATCAGCCCTCAGAGCTGCAGGCGGTCACAGCACCTCCCCGGCCCTGCCTGCCTTTATGCCCCAGGGACAAGAACCGCACCGCCAGATACCCAGGAAACCACCGCCAGCTCTTGCTGTGCTTGCCTGGACTCTGCCTGAAGCTACCTCGCTCCCTTGAAGAGGAGGGCGTAACATGCTCGGCCCTGCTCTCCCCAGAGCCGCAGGCTGGGCAGCCAGGAGCCGTCGCTGCCAGCCAGCCCAGACAGGGCAGCGAACAGCGTCTGACTGGAGAATGGCGCGGCAGAAGCCACCTGCACCGCGAGGGCAACGAGACCACAGAGCTGGCCCTGGCCTAACCCCGCTCCGGCTGCATTGTAGGGCCAAAGGGCCAGAGCCAGAGTCTGAGCAGCAGGAGGTGAGCCACACCGCACACCTCCAGTTACAGCAGGAGGAAAATCCTTGGGAACTGGGTCAGAAGCAGCCAGAAGTCCCACACCGAGCCAGTTAAGCACATCCTTGCAAAAGCACACCAGTTCCTGCAGCCAGCCAGCACGATGTGCAGTCACATTCGAATTCTCAGCCCCCAAGATCAGGTGCCCATGCGCAGTACAGTCAAAGGAGCCAACGTTCACACAGGGGCAAAATGAGGCTAGAGCAGACCCCATCCAACAGAAAACCACCTTACCTGCAGGGGAGTGTGGCCACAGTTGTTTGTAGCAGCAACGTAAGCACCCCGTGCAGCGAAGCAGAGGCTGTGCCTGCATGAGCACAAGGCCGTAACCTGGGCAAACATTAGAGCCCTTCTAATTAGCCACAGCTTTGCAGCCTGGAGCATCTTGAGGAAGGAGAGCAAGGCTCTTCCCGAGTCAACCTGGGCACCCCCCATCCCCACCATCAGTGATCTGCAGCTGCAGTGGTTTGAGCTGGGTTTATTTACTGTTGGCACTGCCAGCTTCCCCCAGGAAAGCATGACAGTATTCATGGATGTGAAACTCACTGATCAATGCACAACACAACACACAGCGGTGCCGCTGCTGCTGCTGTCAGGACCTGTCCCTCTCAGCTTGCAGCAGGTCCACAAAACAGCACCCACAACTGATGGATGAAGGCTGCCAGCGCCCCGGTCCTGGCTGAGGGATGGTGACTGACAGCCAGGGAGGCACCCAACAGTCCAAAGAGAGCCACCCCGGCAGGAAACATTCCGGATCCACATCTCACTTGTGGCGAGCCCTTTCCTCCTTTGAACCCCACTGTCCCTGTAGCAGTACTTCAGTGCCTCTGTTCAGGACAGGCAGCCATTCTCACAGGAACCAGGCCAGAGCCCAGAGTCCCACACCTCGTACACAGTCATTTGCCTTCTAGATACCGTCAGCTTGTGACTCTGCCAACCACAAGCCCCACGAGCATGCCTGGCACACCTCTGCAACCCCAGCGCAGAGCTGAGAGAAGCCCAGGCCAGGCTAGCACATTGCACAGGCCCGCACAGTTACTGCCATACACGAGCCCCCACCAGGTGCTTCCCACCAGGAGCCTGCTGCAGAGGCTCTCCCCGGTGCCATCTCCAGCCTCAGCTGGCCCCTGCGGGGGCAGGCGAAGTGCAGACCAGGCAGGTTTTCCCCTGGCTGGGCCCTCACAGGGCAGAGAGCAAACCCACCCCGCAGTCTCCTGGTCTGTCATTTTGTGGGTGAACGGTGGGTCACGATGTGCATTCGTCTCCTTTGGGTCAGAACTGCCATCTACACCAGGTCCAGTTGCAGGATGGTTTGCGGTCACGGAAGGGACTCACTCTGCTCGGCAGATGAACCAGATCTCATTGCGGCGCTGAGGGATGCTGGGATTTTCATAAGCAGCCACAATGTAGGTTTCCCGGAGCACAGTGTCTGTGGAGCCCAAGAGCTCCCAGAAGAGACTGATCTCTCGCAGAATCGTCTCCTCAGTGGTCATCCCATAGAAAACCCTGCAGCAAAGGGAGCAACGTAAGCAACAGAGCCAGCACATTCCCCCTTCCCACAGCCAGGGCTCCCATCCCTCTGCCCAAGGAACCACAGCAGCCGTGCAGGGAGTTCATACACCTCTGCTGAGCTGAGAAAACACCTCTGGTGCTGGGGTCACCTGGTTATAACCCAGAGTGGTGCCCTCTCAGTGATGTGGATTTCGGGGTCCGTGGGAACAGGGGGGTTTTGCTGGAACTCTCCTGGGAGATAATAGGCAGTTACGACCTCACGCTCCAGCTCGGTCCCCTCCTTGGTCAAGTGGATTTCGTTGAGCACTGGGACTGTCATGCCCAGATAGCAACCTGGAAGGAGGCAGGAAGGCAGTGGGCACAGTGAGATGGCTGGGTCAGTGGCGGCAGCCCTCCTCCCCACTCCAGACGAACAGTGGCAGGGCCCTCCCGCTGCGCAGCCTGCCAGCCCCTTCCAGCCCCTGCCTGCACACACCTACAGAGTTCTCCTTGCAGATGTAGCGCATGAGCTTCATGAAGCTCATGGAGATGCTCTGCTCATACATGGGCTCCCCCTTGGTGACACACGCCCACTTCCCAGCTGGGTACCACCGCTCCTCGTAGGCTGCTTCCTCGCACTGAAACAGGCCACAGACAAGCCAGGTCAGAGTTAAGCACGCTGACAACACTGCAGCACTTGGGTGGCAAAAACCAACACTGACAGGCAGGAAGCGGGGAGACAGGACCCTGCCAAAATGAGACCCCCCCTGCTAGTCAGGAATTGGCAGGGGAGGCCGGAGAAGGCGAGGGGAACTGGCATCACACGCACCTCAGACAAGGACATTTAACAGCACCGGGCAAAAGTCAGCGAAAGGAAAAGCACAGACAGGGGACAGGGTGCAGGGAGGCTTGGAGGCTCCTGGCATGCACAAGGAATGCAGCACATCCTCAGCAGGGGGCACAGGACTTTCTGCTCCTCTCCAGTCGCTGTTCTGCCTACTCACAAGGATGTTCCTGATTCCAGGCACCCAAAGGCCTCCAGTAAGGTTGACGTGATTCTCAGGTGCAGTGCCTTTTCCCTGGATCACTGCGTACACAGAGAATAACAAGCAAAAACCCTCCTGCCCAGCAGAAGGAAAAGTCTGGCAGAAGAGCTCTAACATCCAGAGGAGCTGTGAAGGTTGGAACAAAACTCCTCTCCGATCCTTCTCACATACCAAGACGTGACAGGAGGAAGAAGAGACATGAACTTAGCTGGTGCAGAGGGGACAGCTCTGTGGGATGGGTCAGAATCTCTAGTTCCATCACAGATGCCCAGTCTTCTGGACAAACCCAACGCAGAAGTGGGGCAGGTGGAGTGGGGAAATTGCATCTGGATCTGCTCATAGTTCAGCTCATGGCATGGTTATAACCCCAGGTACCGCATAAAGAGGGGCTGGGACGTTGTAGGCAGCACCCATCTTCCTGCTCTCAGCTTGTTCTTCAGCCAGATTGAAGTGGTCATGAGGCAACCTTGTTCCACCGAGCCCAGGGCAGCTGTCCAAACTTCTGTGCTCCGCAGCTGTGCTGGCAGTGAGTGAGCCAGGAAGTTGTGACCAGCCCCAACGCTGAGTGCAGCCTCCTTGTGCCTCCACCCAAATCAGGTCTCTACTCAGAAAGCCAAACCAAAGGCAGAAGGAAGGCCTCTGGGCTGCTCATATGCATCAGTGGGGTGCCAGGAAGAAGAGTGCCCCAAAACGCTGCAGGCCACCCTCCAGATGGGGCCATGCCTGCTATGGTCCCACCAAGCAAAGCAGAGCAAGAGCATTTTCCAAGCCAGGAAACTGCCAGTTCCCCTAGACTATTTGCAAATCTCATCTGCCACACCATCTGCAAATAAACCTATCAACCCAGCAAGGCATGGTGTCTGGTCCTTCCACAGCCCAATCCTTATATGAAGCACCACCACTCTAGAAGATGAGACTTGACCAAGAGAAAGAGTGAAGATGCTTCACACGGACCCAGTGGCAACGGGTCCCTGCGATGTGAGCTGGGGAATTTGACTGAGTATGACAGAGCAAGGCTCGTACTGACAGTACAAGTACTGACGGAGCAATTCACTTGCCCCCAAGAGGATGAGGGCTTGCAGCACTGACAGCTCAGAAGGAGTAACCAAATGCTACCTACCGACCTGCCCGAGCCTGGGAAGCGTGCCCTTAAGGGCCCCAGCTCCAGAGACCCCTCAGCACTAATGCCAGGAAGCGGCTCCTGTCTCCTCACCCAGCCCCAGAGCCAAACTCCAAGAATCCTCCGCAGGCACAGAGAGGATGCCAATAGCAACAAAAGATCTTCAGGCCCCACAACGTCTCGGAGCCTCGTTGCTGCCTGGCAGCAGCAGAGGTAGGGAAGAGCCCAGACTAAGTCCCTGGGACCCAGAAGAACAGGGGAAGAGGGGGTGTGGTGAGGCCCCGGTTCAGAGCTGCACAACCCACAGGCTCAGACGTGTTTTACAAGCAGGAGTGCTGGACCTCAGCCCAGAAGAAACTGGTTAAGCTCTCCTCATATAGAGGACAATTGACAGATGTCTTCTTGGTAGCAAGCCCAACCAAGCCTGCAGAGACACAGGAACCGGTCTGACAAGCGCTTCTTCACAGTTATTTCTCAAAGCTCAGAAGCACCCTTTAGCGTGAGAGAGAGGTATGCGACTTAGCCAGCAAGAACCGGAGATCTTCACACAGAAGCTACCACGTTTGGATTGGCATTTGTGACAAACGACAACACATGCTCACGTCTAACGCCCAGGGCCACAGGCCCTGTGCTCCCCACAGGAGCATCCTTATCTTGTGCCAGCTCAACCAGCGGCCACATAACGAGCACAAATACAAACCCGGCAGGGCTTTGAGCTATGCAACAAGGTGTTTTAAGCAAGGCCGGGAGCAGGCTCTGGACTGAAAATTCACACTCTTGGATGTGCCCACCCCAGCAGGGGATAGGTTGGTAATGGACACAACTGGAAGCCAGGAGACCAGAGAAAGCGCCAATTTTAAAATAAAGGCTGGGAAGTTGAGCGTTGCCATGACTCGGCATAGCAGAAGACGCAGGAATGGCAGAACGCTGCACCAGTCCAGAGCGGCCATCCTGGCTGCTGCGCTTCTGCGGACACCTCTGCAAGGCCGGCGCAGGCAAGCCGACGTCGGCGAGCTCCCCAGGCTGGCGGGCGGCGGCACGCCCGGGGGGCGGCGGGCGGGGGG